TGTTGTTGACCCCCCTCTTTATCATAGCCTAGCTGGAGGTTTATAGTATCTCACTTTTACCAGACCAAATATATCTTTTGTTGTGCAACATATCTTTCTCTACATGCATGACCCAAGTGAACCTCATCTCAACGCCTTAAACGCATTTTACGTTACATACGTGGTACCTTGGATCTCAGTCTCCAACTACATCACTCTTCATCCACTGATCTTATTGTCTATTCAAATGCAGATCGGAGTGTATGCCCTTCTTCTCGAAGATCTACCAGTGGATATTGTGTCTTCTTGGGCGAAAACTTGGTCTCCTAGTCTTCCAGACGCCAACCAACCGTCTCACAATCTAGTGCTGAAGCTAGATATCACGGTGTCGCCAATACAGTTGCGAAGACTTCTTGACTTCGCAATCTTTTTGCATGAATTACATATCCCTATTCCGAAAGCTACTATTATGTATTGTGATAATGTCAGCACTGTTTATCTTTCCACAAATCCGATTCAACATCAAAGGATGAAACGCATTGAAATTAACATCCATTTTGTTCGAGACAAAGTTGCTACCGGTCAAGTTCGTGTTCTTCACGTTCCCTCTACTCTTCAGTATGCTGATATATTCACTAAAGGGCTGCCAACCTCCTTATTCACAGATTTTAGGAACAATTTGAGCATCCGGAATGCTCCTACCACTCCCCCTGCCCAATAGAGGGGGGGGGGGTATTAGTGTATTTTGTGTATCTTGTATCGTATTGTATTTTATCCTATTAGATAGTCTAATTGTATTAGTTCATAATCCCGTTGTACTCTGTATATATTCACCTTTGTTTAATAAAATAATCACAGAAGAATATTCCCCAAACACTTAAAACATTGCAATGGAAATTACGACTCTTATCTAGCTTTATATTTTAACTTACCAACAACTGGAAAAGATTAACAACCCATTCCTAGGTTTATGCAACGTCCATTGATCTTGACCCTATCAATAAAGAAAAAAATACAAAGTGACTAAACTACCATTCTTACTTTCGAATTACTCTAACATCCTGATCACCATCTCTGGAAAACCATGGATATATATATATATATATATATATATATATATATATATATATATATATATATATATATATATATATATATATATATATAGAGAGAGAGAGAGAGAGAGAGAAAGAAAGAGAGTTAGGATCATATATAACCAACAAATATTGTGTGAATGTGCGACAAATTATGGTCCAATCAATATAGAGTGGTAATTTTAGCATTTTACATATGATACATTTATTTGCTATTAATTAAATTTGCTATATATTTGGAATGAATAAAATTTCCTTTTAAATATGTCAATCGTTTCCAAATTTTCATGATGGGATTCGTTATAATGATTGTAAAATAAATGCAAAGTCATTGTAATTTCTTTTTTATGAATCGCAAGTTGCAAACTGTGTCCAGAGAGTTCTTATAACTAAATAGTTTTTTGCAATTACAATAGTGTCCGACGATTGGTTATTTGAAAAAAAATGGATATAAGATAATTTCTTTTTTTTTGTGTGGTTAAATTTAATGTAAATATTTGTTGATTGTTTTTTATTTCATAAGAATTTATCAATAAATTATGGAATTATGGTTTTGATATTGATGCATCGTGTTGTACGATAGACATATTCTTAAATAGTGTCGTTCATATTAAGTTGTATATATATAGTTTGAATTGGTTCTATGGATATTCTTAAAGAATTTGCAAATGTAATATTTTAAACCATTCCAAAATGAAAAAGTATATAGTTTATACTTAATAGTAATTGTTGTATTTTTTTATTTTTACTATTGTATAATCATCATATTTCCAAGTGTTGTATTTATTTTTACTATTGCAGCTAGTGTTGGTTGTTTGTAGATGAATACATGTGATAAAAACGATGAACATCGAGGAAGAATGTATGATTTTCGTATTTCAATTTGGCTATTTGACAGAAATATTCTAAAAGAATATAGTATAATTTTTTTGTATATTCTTCAAGAATATTGTATATATACAAAGAATGTAGTATATATTACAACATATTCTTACATAATATATTATAGAAGGTTGTGTATATTCTTCAAAATTATGTATATGTATTCATGTTTTATGTTATAAAAATGGTTGTTTTATGTTATAAGGACGATTCTTATTTCTATATTATACATTCTTGATTTGATTATATTGCAATATATTTTTATTAAAGAATTAATGATATGTTAATGTCTAATGTATAATATATGCAGGTATATTCTTTTAAAATGTTAATTGTAAATAAAACTCTTTCAATGAAATCGTATTATTTAATAATGGAAGAATGAAAATATATGTTCATATTCTTTAAGAACGAAAGAATGAAAAAATGTGTTCATATATCTCAAATGACGTCTTATTTTCAAAAACAAAAAATATGAGATTTGATTTGTTTTTTATTAATTAATTTTATTTAGTTTCCTAAAATATACGTATTTTTAATTTCTCACTCTCTTAATAAAATGTCATATTTTCCCTTATAATTAATTAATTGCAATTATATAGTAAATGCTAGTGCATGTTAATAACATTTACCCTAAAATCTCATCATTTTATTCTTTTAATTTAATGGTCAGGATTAAATGTGAATCACAAATATTGTATGAATGTGTGACCAAATCCTGACCATTAAATTAAAAGAATAAAATATTGCAGAAATTAAGAGTTTTTGGATGTTTCACTGAGTTGCAGGTTCCTTCCGTAGAGTTTTAGTGAGTTGCAAGCTCTTTGGAGACAGTCGTCGCCGCAATCGGAGAGAGAGATGGAGAAAGATGATTGTTGGAGATGGTAAAAAGAAAAGAGAGAGGATGATAGTGACCGATGGCGGGTTCCTACTTTTGAGTAAGATGGGCGGAAGGTTTAGAGGTGGTAGAAGAAGGAGGGAGGCGAAAGTTAGAGGAGGTGGTCGTTGGAGATGGTGACCCTAGACCTACTCTATGTAGATAAGTGAAAAGGAGAAGGAAGAATAAGGCTTCTTGGGCTTTGGGTATTTGTAGATTTGTGGTCGTAACTTCAACAATTAAAAGAGAGTATAACTGTTCATCTATTATTTATAAATAAAAAGCTTCATTGAAAAATAACGGTTATAATAGTGAAAATAATGTGGCATCCATCGTTATAATAATTAATAAAAATTGTAGATAACGTGTAGATAACGTAGGTGCTGTTTGTTTTTCTTAAAAAACCTCTTCAAAACTCTTATTGCTGCGCGGCGCAGCACACACGCAACATTTTTTGTCCCACAACAGTTTGTTTTTCGGAAGTTTTTGAGGCTTAAAACCTCTGCCCGTGTGCTTCTTGGGGAAGCACTTGTTGTACATCTTCCCACCCCTTCAAACCTAAACCTAAAAAAATCAAATCCCAAAAAACAATTGGCCTTTTTTTTTCAAAAATCTAACAACGACGTGTGTTGTTTTTTAAATAAGTGTCGATGAAGTATATTTAATATTACGTTTATGGTCCTTTACTTATATACTATATTTTATTTTCATCCCTTTAACATTTAATACATTAAATTTATATCTCTTTGACTGTTTTCTCTCATTAGTACATAAGTTAATTCATTTTAATGTTGTTTTTTAAATTAGTTTATTTTAAATTTTTAATGTCTGCAGCAGTCTGCAATGTTAACAAAAACAAACACGCTTCTTATTACAGCCTGCATCCGTTTGGTCCACCTCGTTTACTGCAGAGGTTTGCAGAAATGGTCTTCAGGCTTTTTGAATTTTTTATTCGGAAAAACAAACAACACCTTAATAATTATCCTATAAATAAAAAGGAAAATGTGTGTTAATAAATAATTGATGTACGGGGATTTGTTGATGGAAATCGTTTAGGCTGAACGGAGTGGGTGTGTTAAGGCCCGTCGCTAACGTCGCTAAGACAAGAGAACACCGCCCCCTTGGGCTCGCTAAGGAGGGTCGCTATGCTCCCGTCATTAAGGCTTTGGCGAGATGAGAGAGAAAGAAAAGGGAGAAGGTGATTGCTCCAAACGTTTGGTTTCTTCTTCAATACGACCCAACTGAGCTTGAACTCTTTCTTTAACCTCCAATTTTTTCTTCTCTATTTCTTCCTCTTTCGCCTTAAAAGTTGAGAGAGCAGATTTAGATTCTTCATCTTGACATTGGACCAGCTTGCATCAGTATTTGAAGTTGCTCACTAGATTTCTTCTGTGGTTGAGTTTGAGTAGACATTTCTTTTTCAGGTTCTTTCTCGTTCTTCTTCTTCAATCAGAAAAAGCAAAAACCCTCCTTCTTCCTCTGATTCCTCTCTTAATTTCTCTAATTTTTTCTTGTTTTTACTTTTCCCCCCTTTAATTTTTCGATTTCATCTTTTTCCTCTGATGATTTGAAAAAAAAACAGGCCTTGATGCTTGAAGTTATGAGAAAGATACGAAAGAGAAAGAAAAAGAAAAGGAAAGCACAAATTTTGCTTTCAAGTTACTCTGGACACTCTAAAAAAGGTCTTCTCATCCACAAGGCCTCGTTTGCAACACCAAATCACTTTTTAACGTTAGTTTATTTAGATGATTGTTTAATTTAGGATTTTTTTAAAAAACCAACAAATCTTAAAGAAAAAAAATCACATGTTAAGCCATTTTATCGGTTGGATATGATGTTTGGGAAATGAGAGCCCCATTTGAAATTCCAAGGTTTCGATGTTATTTTTCAAATTTCAAAAAAAAAATCAAAATAAATAAATAAATAAAATGTTAGGAGTGTTACCACTCCTTATGAAATGCTTAGAATTAGATGCTAAGACAAAAAAATGATGTGACATTCAAAAAAATGATGTGGCAATGTGCTAAGAGTGTTACCACTCCCTCTACCGTTAAAACCTATTCTACATCAGCCGGGCGATATGATTCTAGTACCCTTTTCCAATCCGCTTTTATTTCCCTTCAACCCTCTCTCACTCTCTTCTACAACCACGCGCCACCACAGAAGACATGGCCACGGCGAGGACGATGAGCATCGTGGATCATGAACTCCCCGACGATACACACAACATCTACGATGTCACATTCTTCGAAGACACCATCTCAACCATAGTCACAAACACACCATCATACGTTGACACTTGGATCTCCGACATCGAACGCATCCACCGCCGCCGTCTCCACTCCCTCGTCGTCGGCCTCGATGTTGAGTGGCGTCCTAACCAGAGTCGGAACTTCGAAAACCCAGTGGCCACGCTCCAACTCTGCGTGGGACGCAGCTGCTTAATTTTTCAGATCCTCCACTCCCCTAACGTCCCTTCGTCGCTCAGAAACTTCTTCAGTAATCCCTCCTACACCTTCGCCGGCGTCGGGATCGATAACGACTTGGAGAAGCTTACGGAAGATTACAATCTGGTGGCTGCGAAAACGGCTGATGTGAGGGCGTTGGCTGCGGAGAAGTATGGTTTGAGGGAGCTTAAGAATTCAGGGTTGAAAGAATTGACGAGAAGGGTTCTTGGGAAGGAGGTGAGCAAGCCGAAGGCGATTACGATGAGCAGATGGGATAATCAATGGCTGACTTCGTCTCAGGTACAGTATGCTTGCATCGATGCTTTCTTGAGTTTTGAGATCGCGAGGGTCTTGATTTCTGGGAATCAGAACTGAATTTGAATTCGACATCTATGATCTAAGGTAATTTGATTTAGGGTTCTTAATTTTTCATGTTTGATTTGATGGTGGATGGTGATCGCTTGATGATTTATCTATCCATTTAGGATTTGGGTTTACAAAACGATTCTGTACAGGATTTGGATCTATGTTATATTTCTTAGTGTTCATATAATTAAATCGATGAATTTGGAGAAAGTTGGTAGCAGAGTAATTACACAATACCTTTGAATTTTTTTAAATTAAAATTTCTTTTTCCTCAATTATTGAACGGCTTTGATTAAAGTTGTTTGATTGTAAAGATATTTTATTCCTTTTTGTCAATTCTTATGTAGGCCTAGTTGTTGATTTTTAATGGAAATTGGCAAAAGATGGCCTTCTTTTTTATTATTTGAATGTAGACAATGCTTTTTACTTTTATATATTTATTCTATGCTTGGTTTTTAAACAACTAAATTGTAATTCGGTTGATTTTGATACGATTTTAGTTTAGTTCGGATAATACATATCTATATTTTAAAGACAAAATTGCAAAAATGGTCCCTGTGTTATGCATTTTTTTGGAGTTTTAGTCCAAACCTCGACTTTTTTGGATTGGTGGTCCTTTTGGGCTGGTTTACATGCAGTTTTGGTCCATGTCCAAACTAAAAGGACTATTATACCCTTAATGAATTTAGTTTTTATTTTTCTTTCTATTTTTAAAATTATTATTATTATTAAATATAAAAATGGGCCCACCTCTCTCTCTCTCTCTTGGATACCACCAGCAAGGGAAGAAGAACTGGTGGCTGCCACCACCTCTGCAACTCCCTTTCTCCTTCATTTTCTTTCCCGTCGATCAAATAGCCCAAACACCCTCCGTTCACTTCGTGTGCTACTCACCTCCACAGCCGACAACAAAAGGGGAAAGCATTCGAGAGGAGCAACGGAGCAACCATATTGCCATCACCTTCGATGCTTCAATCATCTTCGAGCCTGTCACCGCCTTCAGCTCCTGCGCTTCTTCTGTCTCAGAAGGAAGGTGCGAAGGTGGGGAATCAAAAAGGGGCTGCCGACTCCGATGTTTGCTCCGAGGAAACACCTACTTCGGTGGTGGGTTCAGGCCAGGGAACGAAGAAGAAATGGAGGATGAAAGGGGGAAAGGCAGCAACGATCGCAATAGTCTTCAGGGGGAGTTCAGTGACTACGATCGACAGGTAAAAGGGTGGAGCAACAAGGGGTTGTTGCCTCGAACCAGTCTTTGTTTTCCGATCTTCAAGACGAGTCACACATTTCATAACAGGAAACGAAGGAGAAGACAGGCGAAGGAGAAGACAGGCGAAGTAGAAGAGGCAACTGCCTCCTGTTCTTCTTCTTGATGGCAACAACAATTGAATGAAAAGAAGGGTGTTTGGAGCTGGTTTATCTCATCAAAGCTTTGGGTGTGAAGAAGGAGAAATGGGTTCGAGATTTGGGTTGTTGATTTAGGTTCTTATTTTTGTTTACAACTTCCATTTTCATCAGAAAATGGTGTCGTAGGGTTTTCAAAAGGGTTATTGTTATTGTAGTCCAACAAACTTATTAGTTTTGGTTTAAACGGTCATTTATGATATTTTTTGTATTATAAGGTAATGAATTCATATTTTAAGGTTTTAAAATGTCATTAGGAAAAATATGAAGGGTCACCCGGTGAACCCCTTCCTACTCATCAGGTACCATTTGACAAGTCGTTAAAATAAAACCACCTCACTTGCTACCTGTCTTCTTCTTCCTTGCTGGCTATGGTAATCCCTTTTGCCTCTTGAAATCCGATCGGGAGGAACGAGGAAGACACACAAAATCATAGTACAATTTCGAATCATTTAGTCAAATAACTATAGAATAACGAGAACAAAAAAAAAATCATCAGCAAAACCAAAGGAAATTAAAAGGCGGGAAATTAAGTGAAATCCTTGTAATCCGTTGTTGCCTGCTGCCATCAATTCCTTCACCAATAATAGCCGGCTAGTTATCCATTGCCTCCGATCCATTTTTGTTCTCAATTACGCACAAAACAATGCTTTCCTTCATCTGAATCATCGGTATCATACGATTGCTTTGAATTTGAAGCTTTATGATTCGTATAAATGTAATCGTTGTTAATCACGCCTTTATCAGGACTATTAGAGTTCAAATGCATCAAACGGGTAGAATTATTCCTATCGCTACTGTCGATTTTGACGATGACTTCGTTGTGGGTTTCGGCGTCACTTGAGGGGTGTTCATGTTGATCAGAGGCATTAGATTCTGGTGGTTTCTTCGATGCTCTGGGATTATCCATTGTATGTATCTACCCTAAAGTTTAACGATATAGAAAATTTTGAAGAGAAATTGTACAATGAAATGATTGTTTTTACATAAATTGTGAAGGGTTGTTTTGTGAAGGCATCATCCACCAACCTACTAGATACTTCATTGGTAAAGTTTGATTCACATGATCTTCTTTAAAGTGACAATGAATTTTACTTCCTGCAACCCGTTACAAGCATCCTTGGTGGTCCAATTGGGCCACCACGTCACAACCTTCTCGAACCCTAGTCCCATTGGCAGTCACAAGATTATGAAAGCAGATCATGTTTGTTTTTCCTTATTATATGTTGTTAATCCTTAGATATGTGTCATTTTCGTTTTGAATCCACCAGAAACGATGTATGTATATGTACTTGTTGTTCCTCTTAGAAAACGGTAAACTATATATGCATATGCCACATGTTCGATAAAAGTCCTCAAGGAAGGCAATAGGGTTTCGGCTCGATGAAAGTTGTAAGTTTCTCCAAGTACCTGGTTGTCAACATCAATCTTAGAAAGAAAACCAGTTACAGTGGAAGAAGGGAATGAAATGATCGGAAGAAGGCGGTGGTTGTTATTGTTGGTGGTGGTGGTGGTAGATGCCGATGACAGTGGTGGTGTTGGTGCTGACAGTGGTGGTGGTGGTATATTCAAAGGGACCAGCATCAATCTTGGTCCCCAAGATTGATGCTAACTAGGATGGATATAGAGGTATTTAATTACAAACCAACATATTATTTCCTACGTAGCATTCTTCTTGGCATGATTACATCATAGGTAACCTGACCAAGGTAACCTGACCAAACTAGCTGATAAAAGTGGAATTCATTCCCTTATAATGCAAAAAAAATATCATTAGAGACCATTTAAACTAAAACCCGAAAGTTCATTGGGTTACACTGACAATAACCAGTTTCGAAAATGGTTTTTAACCCTTTAAAAGTGCATTGTTATAATATGTCGAATCGGATGGATCTAGTGGTGTTCTGTTGCATCTACAAAATATTGTGGCCCTCCCATGCGATAACATCTCATTTATGCTAAAAATAATATAAGAAAATCTTAAGGCAATAACTAATGAAAATTTAATAGTGTAAATACTTAATTGTTTTCTATAAAATACATCCACCTAATATATGGTTCAAGATAACAAAATTAAACCTGAAACCAATTACAAAAGATTTGATCGGAATCAATTTCAATAACAATTATGTTTGATTAGTCTTTAACATGTCAACAATTACTTAAACATTCGGAAATGACCCAATTAATTAGTCTTTAATATGTCAATAATGTTCCATTGAATTAATAGATAAGATTATTGTCATTGTAGCCCAACAATGTTTTGTACATTTACCCATTTTTAAAGGTCACAACTGCCTTGTCAACTGCCAACTAAGCAGGTGAGTCAACAATGACTCGGTGGTGAGTCGACTCATCGTTGCTACGTAAGCCAAGGAGTTATTACGCCCATTTAGTCAACTGCCAACTTGAACAAAATTCCAGATATGAGTGACGGAAGAAACCACTTGAGGGAAGACATGAACGACCATTCTAGATAATACACCGATGGCTAGGGTTTGGGGAACCCAGGCTTTGAATCCAACTTCAATTCAAGCCTTAGCCTTAGAAGGCGGTTGTTGACGACGTATGGATTAAACCTATATCAACTATACGAAGAGAAAAACTAGGAAAAAAAATATAAAATCGATGGGTAACCGATCCGACTAAGAAAAAAACTATAAAATCGAATACATTACATACGAATTAAACTAAGAAATCAAATACAAAATGGAATCACATAATGTATGGATTAAACCCATATCAACTCTGGGAAGAGAAAGAAGTCACGTGAACTTCAAAAGCCCACAAATAAACTCTTCAATTGATTTCTCTTGAAGAACCTGCAATTTTATACCCTTGCTCATTCTTTTCTGATTTAGAGTGAGAGGGAAGAACCGTTTATTGATTCAATTTACAGAGGACATCAGGATTGGTCAGTATAAGAGAGGGGAGGGCTGAGAGAAAAGAGATCACTAATTAGCTAGGAGACGAGGTGAGGGAGATCTCATCGTCTGCTATATATATATATACTAGGCGAATGCCCGCGCGTTGCGCAGAAACACCTATATAGTTAAAATCATTACAAATATATGTTTTTTTTAAATACTACAATAACGTTGTTGTTAAATTTGATATAAGAATTCATATACTAAATTGATATAATATATTGATTATTTTGACTTATATGATAATATATACATCTATTATAACTGCATAATCTCAATCGTTTGAATGACTTCTACCCGCGAGTTACTCATGAATAAAATTAAATATAATATATGGTTTAATGTTATTTATGGTTGTTGTTATTGTTAATTAATTTTTTAAAGTTTATTTGCTTAACGTTTTAGTTTCTATCATTATAATTATTTAAGACATCAAACATTGTTTTTTGATTTTAAAGGTAACAATATAATAATTTATATAGAGTTATTTTTAAGTATTGTTATTCTAAGTTATTTTAAGTTACTTTTTTGAAAACTTTTAACGATTATACAAATATCTTTAGGAAATAGTTTAGTTAAATTGAGATTACAATTTAGTTTTTGCATTTGGCACTACAATTTATCACTTGTAACTATTCACAAAATATTCTTTGGATTTTTATATGGACTGAAATTTATATTTAAGTTGACACTGTAATGTTATATTAAAATCAACAATTTAAGTATTTTGTCCAAATTGTTCAAAAGTTGTAGCTTTAAACTGATAATGGTTTACATACAACAACATATTAAATCTAATAAATTAAGTATAATATGTTAAAAGTTAAAGACATAACTTTATAAGTAGAAGTAAATAAATTATTTTAATATTGAAATTTAATTTATTTATGATTACACTTTAGGTTTGATAATTATTTAACTTTATTAACCAACTTATAATCGTTATTAGAAAGACACTATAAGTTATCACTTTTAACTATTTACAAAATATTATTTGGGTTGTTTAAGTTGAACTAAAATTTATATTTAAGTTGATCCTGTAAGGTTATATTTAAATTAACAATTTAATTATTTTATACAAATTTTTCAAAAGTTGTAGCTTTAAAATGATAATGGTTTACATACAACAACATATTAGATCTAATAAGTTAAGTATAATAAGTTAAAAGTTAAAAACATAATGTTATAAGTAGAAGAAAATATATTCTTTTAATATTGAAATTTAGTTTATATATGATTATACTTTAGGTTTGATATTTATTTAACCTTATTAACCAACTTATAATTATTATTAGAAAGAAATTGAAAAGTCAAGGGAGTTTCAAATGAATGTGGTGAAAGGAAAAATGAATGAGAGTATCAAATGAATGTGGTGAAAGGAAAAATGCTTCATTTATAAGTATACTAGACGAATTCACACGCGTTGCGCAGTGAAGATTAAAAATATATTGTTAAAATATTGAAAAATATATGTTTAAAATGGTTATGTTATTGACATTAACTTTGAGATAATATTTTTTCACTAATTTATATATATATATATATATATATATATATATATATATATATATATATATATATATATATTCTCAATTATTTTGAACAATAATATTTATTGACATCAACCCACATTCCTCATTAATAGAATTAAATATAATTATCTATTTAGTATTATTTTTAACAATTATTATTATTGATTAATTATATTTTTACTTATGCGATCATTTTCTAATTTCAATAGTGATGTTCATTTAAAATACAATTTATTTATAGCTAAATGTAATTTTTAATTTGATGTTATTATCATTTAAAATTGTTATTCATTAACTTTAAACCACTTATTATTAATAATAAGTTAAAGAAGACTTTTAAGAAACACTTAATATTATTATTAAAGTGTGAAACATACACTGAATAATAAAGTGATAAGATAGACAATTTGCTTTTCAAAAGAGACTTGCATGGATAATATGACATATCCATGTAATTTGATTTTATTATTTATAATTGTTGCTTATTAATTTTAAAACCCTTGTTATTATTAATAAGTGAAAGAAACTTT